TCATGCTGGTCCCCTAGCTGGAAGGTGTATCCTCTTGGCGTACCTCCCTTATTCTCCTACCCACAAGGAGTGAGGCATGCAGTAACGTACTGCTGCTCCTCGGTAGTGGTGGAGCTTCTTTTCAGCTGCCTAGTTTGTACCCATCTTGTCTCTACAGCTTGGCCCCAAGCCCTTCAAGCTCAAGTGCCACTTATGAGCCTCCTTCAGATCTTCTGGCCTCTCTCTGCTCAGCCACTTCTCCCTGAGCCCCAGGGCCACCCCGGGATGGTCTCAAGGTCTCTAGACATTGCCTTCCAGCACTTTCCTCAGCCTTGGGGAAGGACTGGTGACCAAGCACATGTTCAGTCCATGGTCAGGAATGTCTGAGTCTCCCAATACTCAGGACAAGGCTGCCCTCCTAGGAGGGTTGTATACCCCAACTTCAGGGCAGGGTAGAAGAAAGATCTTTCCTGGGAGAGGGTGCAAGGAGCCACTCCCAAGGTGTAGCTTCTTTTGTTGCTGGTCCTGGGGCTTAAACTCAAGGCCTGGGCACTTCCCTGAGCCTGAGCCTCTCTGTGCTCCAGGTTAGTGCTGTATCACTTGAGTCACAGTGCTACTTCTGGCTTTTTCTGTTCATGTGGTGCTGAGGAATTGAACCCAGGGCTTCATGCATGCTAGGCAAGCACTCTACCACTGAGCCACCTTCCCAGCCCAGGCATGGCTTCTGAACCCTTTCTTCCCCGTGGATTTCTAGGTAGTTGGCTGAAAACCATAAACCCTCTTTGGAGTCATTTTTTATTTTTTTTTAAAGTGCTGGACACCAGTGGATCCTACCTATAATCCTTGTTATTCAGGAGGCTGAGATCTGAGGATTGCAGTTCAAAGCTAGTCTTGGCAGGAAAGTCTGTGAGACTCTTTTTTTTTTTTTTTTGTCAGTTGTGGGGCCTGAACTCTGGGCCTGGGCGCTGTCCCCTCAGCTCTTCAGCTCAAGGCTACTACTCTACCACTTGAGCCACAGCACTACTTCTAGCTTTTTCTGCTTATGTGGTGCTGAGGAATTGAACCCAAGGCCTTGTATATGCAAGCAAGCACTCTACCACTGAGTCACCTTCCCAGTCCCGTCTGTGAGACTCTTATCTCCAATAAACTATCAAAAAGATGCTGGAAGTGGAGCTGTGGCTCAAGTGGTAGAGTGCTAACCTTGAACACAAAAGCTCAAGGATAGTGTTCAGACCTTGAGTTCAAGCCCTCCACACACAATGCTTTAGGAGTCAGGTGCTAGTGCCTCCTACTGTAATCCTGTAATCCTACTATTCAGGAGGCTGAAATCTGAGAGTCATTGTTCGAAGCCAGCTCGGGCAAGGAAGTTCATAAATCCATAAGACTCTTATCTTCATCCAAAAAGTTGGAAGTAGAGGAAGTGGTTCAAGTGGTAGAGTGCTAGCCTTGAATGAAAAAGCAAAGGGACAACACTCAGGCTCTAAATTCAAGCCTCAGTCCTATCACATACATAAAAATGGATTAGGGTGAAACTCAAACCCATGCAATTGAAACAATGTAATTACAATGAATAGGTCAAAGAAAAATGGTGATAGTAATATAATATCAGATATATTACACATATGCTACAGTAACAAGTATGCATCTTTATTAATAACTAACTAAAAAAGGTTTAGAGTTGGGTATGTGGGTTGGCAGTAGTAGAGTGATTGTCTAGCATGGGTGAGGCCCTGAGTTTGATTTCCTAATATTTAATTTTGTGTGTGTGTGTGTGTGTGTGTGTGTGTGTGTGTGTGTGTGGTGGTACTGGAGCTGGGACTTGGCTTTACTCGCTCATTTAGCTTTTTTCACTCAAAGTGGGTGCTCCACCACTTGAGCCAGCCCTCCACTTCCAGATTTTTGCTGGTTAATTGGAGATAAGAACCTCATAGACTTTTTTTTCCTGATCTTGCTTTATTTAGTTCTGAAATCTTAGTTTCCTGAGTAGCTAGGATTATAGGAGAAAGCCATCAGCATCCTCTTGATCTCTATAGCCATATCTGTGTGTGTGTGTGTGTGTGTGTATATATATATATATATATATATATATATATATATAGAGAGAGAGAGAGAGAGAGAGAGAGTAGTGACTCTTATAGGACTTTCAGAACCACCATGTCTTCAATTCTACCTACAGGTATAGAAATATCTGTGATTTCCATCAGTGATAGAATCACAGAGACTTCTACTTACTGCCTGCATTCATCAAAGAAAATGCTCAACAGCTCAGAAATGAGTGGACATAAAGATAGAACTTCTGTCCATTCCAGGGTCTCAGATCCTCAAATGTTATCCTCATGCCCTTTGGGTAGGAGTCCAAAAATAGTGCTTCAAGGCAGAGGGTTTTTGATTCTTCTATTCTTCTCATCAAAATGGAAAGATAAAAGAGTTAAATGACTAGATTGTGTTAGAAGAAAGAGAGAGAGGGAGAGAGAGAAAGGGAGAGAGAGAAAGGGAGAGGGAAAGGAAGAGGGAGGGAAGAGAGCTTCCCAGAGTAGTGAGTTTCATAGCTTCAATGTGAGTCTACATTGACAGAGAGCAAGTGTAGGGAAGGAAATACTGCAGTTGTGGCCAAATAGAAAATACATCAGGTCGAAACTCCAGCCACAACACCACCCCAGAGCAAGTCCCAGTCTCCTTTGTGTCTCTTGTCACCAGGAACACCAAGATATTGTCCCTGCTAGACAGGGAACCCATCCTCAAGCTTACATACAAAGACACAAGACAAACACACAAGTTAGTCACACAAAAATTAAATGCCAATGGAATAAAAGGTGGCCAAAAGAATCTAGAACATGCCACATATCTGGTTAAGTGCACAGTGAGCAACCCACAGCCACTCAAAGGTGGAATTCTCTTTCCGTTGAGGTTTATGGTGGAGATAAAAAGCAGAAATGAAAGCCAGGCACCGGTGGCTCACGCCTGTAATCCTAGCTTCTCAGCAAGCTGAGATCTGAGGATCACAGTTCAAAGCCAGCCTGGGCAAGAAACTCCGAGAGACTCTTATCTCCAATAAACCACTAGAAAACCGGAAGTGGCGCTGTGGCTCAAGCAGTAGAGCACTTGTCTTGAGCTGAAGAGCACAGGGACAGCGCTCAAGCCCCACGAGACCAACCAAAAAAAAAAAAAAAGCAGAAGTGAGGCTGGATATCAGTGGCTCACACCTGTAATCCTAGCTACTCAGGAGGTTGAGACCTGAAAAATGATCACAGTTCAAAGGCAGCTTGGGCAGAAAAGTCTGTAAGATTATTTCCAATGAACCAGCAAAAAAAAGCCAGAAGTGAGCTGTGGCTTATGTGGTAGAGCACCAGCCTTGAGCAAAAAAGAGCCAAAGGACAGTGCCCAGGCCTGGAGTTCAAGCCCCAGTACTGGCACAATGACAAAACATAACAAAACAGGCCAGTGGCTCGTGCCCAGATACTCAGGAGGCTGAGATCTGAGGATTGTGGTTCAAAGCTGGCCAGGGCAGAAAAGTCCCCTTGAGCACCATGAGGCTCAGGGACATGAGTTCAAGTCCCACAACTGACCCTGCCCCCCCCTAGCATACACATTGAGTTAGATGGTTACCTTACTCAGGTCTCAGCCACTGTAAAATGGATGTGAAGACGCTTGTAGGCATATGCTATACTGGTTCAGGATATACCACGAGACTGCTGGAGGACTTACTTGGCCTTTAGGGTGGTAGGTGTGGAAACGAATGAGTAAGTGAATGAATGCATGGATGAAATGGAGCCCCAGTTTTAGGATCAGCTGTGTCAGCCTGTGTGTGGTGATGGGCAGGCTGTCCTGAGAGTGGAAAGCCACAGCAGCTCACAGGAAGCCAGACCCAGGGTCTTGATTTTCCCCGGGCCCTGGAGGCCTAGAGCCTTAATCAGATCTCAGGAGCCAGGTGACCGGGTGGGGGCGATCTTTTATTTAGAGAAAGGAGTATCTAGGCCTGCCCCGGCTGGAGTGGGGATGAGAGCCCGAGGTGCGGTCGTAGGGCCTGAACTCTGGGTCTGGGCGATGTCCCTCAGCTCTTCAGATCAAGGCTGGCACTCTACCACTTGAGCCACAGCGCCATTTCCAGCTTTTTCTGCTTTTGTAGTGCTAAGGACTCGAACCCAGGGCCTCATGCATGCAAGGCAAGCGCTCTACCACTGAGCCACCTTCCCAGCCCCGGTGGTACCTCTTGATTCTGGGGTCCCTCGGCCCATCCAGGCCGCGATCAATGGGAATCTGGGGTAGGGGAAAATTGGGATGAGGGAGCCTGATTACCAGACGAAGCGGGGACCCCGCAGCGACGGGGGAGAAGTGGTCAGGGCCGAAGCTGCGGGCTCCTTTAAGAGGCCGGGCTGGCTCTGCCGCGGTCCCCGAGAAAGCGTCCCTGGTGCAGCTCTGCGGTACACGTCTTTCAGGGCAGACTCTGGGCACCGCACACTGGGGAGGCGTGGTACAGCTGGGCAGCTGGGCGGAGCCAGAGCTGCAGCAGCCGGTCCAGGCCAATGAGAGAACGGTGGTGCCCGGGATGGGTGGAGCCTCAGGAGTGTAGGCGTGGCCTGACGCTGCAGGCCCGGGGGGCGGAGCCTCCGTTTCGGGGAACCGCCGCAGAGGGTGGAGGAGTAGGCGCGGCCACGACAGGGGCGGGGCCCGCCGCAGAGTGGGCGTGGTCCTCGGGGAGTCGTCCGCGCGCGGCTGCCGCGGCCGCTCCACAGCGTCTCTGACAGCCGGGGCGGTGGGAGCCGAGATCCTCGCCGGCCTCGCGCAGCCTCCTCCGCGTCCCCGGGTCCCGTCGAGTCTCAGCCCGCGCCTCGGCGCCCACATCCGGCTGCAGCCCGGCCCGCCGTCGCTGCAGAGGCCGCATCTGGCGCGCATCTGGCATCGCCTGGCCGGCCGCGATGGAGCCCGCGCCCGCCTTGGCCCGGCCGCGCCGGGAGCCCTGCCCGGAGTTGGAGCCGCACTTGGAGCCGCGGGCCCGAGGCCATGAGCCACGCAGCCGGCGCATGGTGAACTCGCTGCTGTTCGGGGAGATGACCTTGGCCTTCGGCTGCCCGCCGGGCGGCGGCGGCGGGGGCTGCCCGGGAGGCGGCGGCGGCGGCGGCGGCGGCGGCGGCGGGGCCGGGCCGGGGCCGTCGCCGGTCACCGCGGCGCTGCGGGACGACCTAGGCTCCAACATCCACCTCCTGAAGGGGCTCAACGTGCGCTTCCGCTGCTTCCTGGCCAAGGTGCACGAGCTGGAGCGGCGCAACCGGCTGCTGGAGAAGCAGCTGGAGCAGCAGCAGAGCGAGCGCGAGCGGCGGCTGCGCTACAAGACCTTCTCCCGGGAGCAGGCCGTGCAGACCGGGCCCGAGCTGCTGCGGCCGCCCGCGGCCGGCGGCGGCGGCGCGGCGCTGGGCGCCAACGCCAACACCGTGGCCCTGGGCGGCCTGCCCCCCGGCGGCGGCTCGCACCCGCAGCACTACGGCCGCCTGCCCGGGACCATCTGGAGCTACACGCAGGTGCGGCGCACGGGCGGCGGCGGCGTGGAGACGGTGCAGGGCCCCGGCGTGTCGTGGGTGCACCCCGACGGCGTGGGCGTGCAGATCGACACCATCACCCCCGAGATCCGCGCGCTCTACAACGTGCTGGCCAAGGTGAAGCGGGAGCGCGACGAGTACAAACGGAGGTGAGTGGGCCCCCCCCCCGCGATCGCGGGGAACGGTATCCGGGTCCCCGGCAGCCGCGGAATGCGTGCCGGCGGCGGGGCGGGGTGGGCAGCTGGGCCTGGCAGCTGGGAGCTGCGGGCCGACCTCCCTCCTTACACGCGCGCGCACGAGGAAGACTCAGTTATCTGGATCCAAGAATGGGGGCGGGCTCTGACGACAGCCCGGGTACCGCCGTGCCGTCACCCGGTCAGACACAGTGTTTCCTATGGACGTAATTCCAGCGACGTTGTGTGTGATCTCAGTTTTTGTGTGTGTCTGTGCCGGTACTGGGACTTGAACTCAGGGCCTGGGCACTGTCCCTGGCGCTGTATCTACGCTTGAGCCACAGCTCTACTGTTTGGCGGTTAATGGGAGATGCGAGTCTCACAGACTTCTCTGCCCAGACCGCCTTTGAACCATGATCCTCAGATCTCAGCCTCCTGAGTGTCTAGGATTACAGGTGTGGGCCAAGGATAACCCGACTTGTGATCTCATTTCATTCTTGTGATAATGCAGTGAAAGACGGTCTCAGCCCCATTTTGCAGATGAGGAAACTGAGGCGCTAAGATGGGAAGAGGCTTGCTCTCAGTAGTTTGGCTAATGCATGGCAAAGGCAGGATTTGAACCTGTGACTTTATCCCCCAAAGATGTAGGAGATAGGCTTTCCTCCCTTCATGAATGAGAGGAAAACTGATAACCCACCTACTTCCCTTTTATTCCTTGAATTAAATTTATCCTGTGTGTGAAGACAGATGGTTCTGTCCCTGCTTCCCTCCCTTCCCCCCTCATTGGGCCAGGGCTGGCTGTGTGGCTCCAGTTCTGTAAGGTCTAGCTCCCTGGGCTGCAGGAGCAGACTCCATCCGACTGGCCACAGGCCTCATCTCCTCCATACTCCTTCAGTCTAATGGTTGACTGACTCCCATAAACTCAGTGGTAAGATGAAGATAACCTTGAGCTGGAAGAATGGCTATCGGATGCATCCAGATCAATGGCTCTGGCTGGAGCAGGAGGGAGCTGGCAGACTGCATGCTAGCCTGGCTAGTGTGTTCTTCTCTAGCCCAGATTCCCTGGCTGGGAAACGATATTGCTTCCTACCACCTTCGGCCTGGCCTGGCTGATGCTGCCAGCTCAGCTTTCTGATGAGAGAAGAGTATGTCTGGTCTGGCTAGGGGAGAGGCTGTCTGGACCTGGGTTGTGGTCTCAGGTGTCAGAGCTCTGAATTGAGCTGCACTGTTCTTCCCATCCCCTGCACAGCACCACTGAGTACTGGGCTTGAGTCTTCTTTCACACTGAACGGGCCAGTGAGTACAGGGGAGAATTGAAATGCCGAGGAGATTGGCAAACCATTGGAGAGCATGTTTCCTCATCAGAGAAACGGGGATAGTAAACTCCAGCTGAAGTGCTTCCTTCATTCCAAGGTGTAAATAAAGTGGTCAAGTTCATAGACACCTTGTCAAGCTAGCAGGGTGCAGATGTGTCTCCAAGTCCCCCGACTCCCATGCAGGCCTCGGTCCCGTGGATAGAGCAGGAGACACTTGCTTAAAATGGTGAGACTCAGGGAGGGGTGGGCCAGGCCCTCCTGTCTGCTCCTCTTGATGGTGTAGTCATGCCACAAGCTTGTGTTTGTTTGTTTAGTTGTGTGGGTGCTTTTGGGACCTGGCTTCCAAGGTGACGGGAAGGATTGGGCCCAGGTTTAGAAGGAGATGGGCTGGCATTGAGCAATGGACCTTGGAGGTTGCACCCAGGGTGTGGGGTGTGATGTCAGTGCTGGCCTGGAATGAGGTGGTGCTGTGGAGACAGACAGGTGGGGTGCTGAGACAGGTGGGGCGCAGGCGTCTCTCTTCCCGCATTTCTGCGATAGCGTGCACACCTTCCTTTCCTCCATTGTTTCGCGAGGTAGAATGATTGTCTTCTTCTGAAGTTGATTTAAGGCTCAGGTTGGATTTTTCCTTTCCCTGGGCTTTGTATTCCTCTGTACCTCTGCAAGGTGGTTGGGCTCTGTGTTCCTTTCCTTGTGATGCTTTACAGGTTCCTTAGATACTTGATAAAAATGATTCTTTAAAAAATGTCATGGCTATGGGAGGCTGAAATCTGAAGATCATGATTTGAAGCCAGCTCAGGCAGGAAAGTCTGTGAGACTCATCTCCAGTTAACCAGCAAAAAGCCAGAAGTGGTATGGCTCAAATAGTCGAATACCAGCCTTAAACAAAAAAGTCACTTAAGAGCAGGAGGTCTTGAGTTCAAGCCTCAGTTTACACACACACACACACACACACACACACAGACACACACACGTACGTACGTTAATATATTAAGATAGCTATAATTATGTTCTCACTCATTTTTCACTTCTTAATGCTATTTCACTACCATGCTTTTTCAGTATTTGGCTTCAAGTTAAAGCATCTCTCTCCTCTTCTGTTTGAAGAGGATTCCCATATTACTAAGCTAGCTGCTTGAAACAATTCCTGTTCCTGGCCACTTGCATTTGGAACCACAGCTTTGCACTGAGCAGGACATCCTTGTCATTCCCTAAACTGTGCCCTGGAAGCTGGGCCCGAGTCCCTCCGTGTGTGTGTGTGTGTGTGTGTGTGTGTGTGTGTGTGTGTGTGTGTTCGCACGTGTGTGCCTGCATGCACATTTGAACTCAGAGCCTCAGTGCTGTCCCTTTGCTTTTTCGCTCACAGCTGGCATCTTACCTCTTGTAGCCATAGCTACACTTCCATCTTTTTGGAGGTTAATTAGAGACGAAATTCTCTCAGGTTTGTCCCCCCAGGCTAGCTTTGAACCTCCTCAGACCTCAGCCTCTTTATTGGCTAAGATTATAGCAGTGAGCCTCTGGTACTTGCCTTTATCTTCTTAATCCTCCCACAGAGCAGACTAGAGAGGGTTGGAGTGATAAAAGTTCATTCCAGCACCCACCCAACCGCCACACAATCTTTTTTATGCTATGTAGACAAAACTGGAGATGGATTTAAACTGCATGTGGAATTGTCATCCCCAGTCTCTAGGCTCAGTGTTAATGCATCAAAATAGTCTCATCAATCATATTGATCAGATTTAGAATAGGTCACTGTTAAGTATTTGAATCTGCAATATGAATTTATACACATAACATTTTTTTTTATTGGTTGGTAGATAGAGCTTCTCCTAAGCATTTTCTTTCAGAGGAGGATGGACATACAGTCAACTTTTTTAAAAAGTTAAAAAAAAATCCCTAGGCTGCATAAATTCCAGTGGTCTTCCCAGACTTGAAATTCAGTGAGAAATAATCATAGTAAATAATTCACTACCTAGAAGTACATAAGCTCAGAAAAGGCAGTGAACTAGAGAGGTCTAATATAGGCAGGTTATGGCTATCTCCTTCCCTCCTTCCCCCTCCCCCACTTCTGAGTTTGGGCTGGGACTGTAGCTCAGTGGCAGAGCACTTACCTAGCACACATGAGTCCTGGTTCAATTTCCAGCATTTCTCTGCCCCAACCCAAGTAACTGGTGATTTGTTCTATATTTCTATTGATTTGCCTTTCCTGGATGTTGTATATAAATGGAATCACACAATATGAATTGTCTTTTGTGTCTGGCTTGGATAATGTTTGGTGGCTCATCTATGTTACTGTATGTATGAGATGTTCCCTTTCATTGCTGAATAAGATTCTATTGGATGGATAGATCATACTTTGTTTATCCACTCACCTATGAAACCACTGGATTGAAAACTTAGACCATGTACACCACGTACCACTGCACATCATCTAGTTACCATCCACCAGTAGCCCATGAACTGTGCCTTGCAAACGCCAGCCCTAACTAGAGCTCTTGATTTCAGTGCTCTAGCCCTGGCCCTGCTCACTATTCTTTGACTTCCTTCTCGGCCCAACCAGCTCTTTACCACGTGGGCGATGTGGTCACTGAAACTATAAGGAGGACAAGGTTGTCAAGTGTTGATTTGGAAACCAAAACAAACACTTTGCTTTGTCACCACCCATTGCCACTAACTATTCCATCTGAGTTTGCAAGCCAGGGGCTTTTCCCTGGGAAATCACTGCTGAAGTTAGCCTCTATAAACAGATGGAAAGTTCTCTGAGTTGCCTTCCAGGGCTCTGTCATTATATATTGTGTCACATTATATATTGTGCTTCCTTCTCTGGGCCTCTGGGCCTCCACTTTTATATCAAGGGGGCTCCTTCGGATGCTCCCTTTAGCTTGCTCAGTGGTTCGGGCCTGTGGCTCACAACTGATCTATTAATCTCCTGAGATGCCATGTTCTGGGCATATCCTTGTCTTTCTCCTGCCTCTCTGCCTTGTGTAATGGGTCCATGCTTGGGACATGGGCAGTGCTGTTGCCTAGGCCATCCCCAGGCTACGCTGTTTCAATGGTTTCTTCTGTCTTCATTGGCTGGCAGAGGAAGCAGGACAGCTTTGAGCTTGTCAAGAAACAGGTCCATCTAGCCTGGCAGTGGGGGAAGTTGTCACAGTTTGGTGGGAGATATTGGTCCTGGTCCACAGCCCCTGTACCCTGCTTTGTTTCCAGGCCCAATGGGGTTTGGAGTTGGCTGGCTTTGTTCCCCTTGTGCAGCTCCCGACTGGGATGCCCTTGTTGCTCAGGGTGCTGCCAGGGTCCTTTGGGAGGCTAGAACACTTACAGGATCATTTGGCCTGGTAGTTTTCAAGTGGGTCCTTCAGAGCCCTCGAACCCATAAGCAAGATGCCTTGGGACAATCCTGGGGACAGTGGGAAGCTGAATACCTGAGATTTGCATTTCCATCCGACTTCCCAGTGATGGTCTGAGAAAGATTCACTTTGAAAACAGGATTCTGTTTTCGACATACGACTTGTACATCTCATTGTTGCATTGGGTCCAGGGGCCGGGCCGGGGCCGTCGCCGGTCACCGCGGCGCTGCGGGACGACCTAGGCTCCAACATCCACCTCCTGAAGGGGCTCAACGTGCGCTTCCGCTGCTTCCTGGCCAAGGTGCACGAG